TCTATCTCTCTCTTTCTCTATTGCCACCAAGTGTCATCAGCCTACAGCACTAAACTTCTTTAATTTATTTGTAAAACAGTTTATCTGCCTCACACAGGCTGAAATGGAGCATGGAGAGATATCATTTTTCAAGGAGTAGAGGAAGGTTTATATTTTTAGTCAACTTGTTATACCACATGTTCAAGGGAGATGGGACTTGACTCTGCATCTCCTGGCTCAGAAGTAGGGCTACAACCATGACATCAGGAGGCACCTAGGCCATGGTCTATATAACTATATATAGGGGAGACGTCAGAGGTAGGTTCTTTACTCAGAGAGTGGTAGGGGCGTGGAATGAATTGCTGGAGAGTGTAGTGGAGTCTGCCTCATTAGGGGCATTTAAGCGGCTATTAGATAGGCATATGGATGATAGTATAACGTAGGGGTGGAGGTTAGATAGACCTTAGATTTAGGGTAAAAGTTCGGCACAACATCGTGGGCCGAAGGGCCTGTACTGTGCTGTACAGTTCTATGTTCTATGTTCTAACTACTTCCAAAACCCAAATGATTTCACAACCAGTTAAATCTTCTTTAAGTGTCATCATTGCTGTAATGTAGGAATGGTATTGGTCAAATGGCCCACAAGTAGATCCCACAAACAAATGTAAGGTGGCAATGATCAGATTATCTGATGTTGGTTCATTAGTTACGATGCTGGAGCGAAAAGGCCCCTGCTGTTCTTTGAAATCTTACATTGGGGCATTTCTTACATCCACTAAAAGATCAGAAGGCCTCTTGCTGAATTTTCCTCCAAAAGACGTCGCTCCTAAGAGTGCAACTCCCCATCAGCACAGCCCAGGGAGTACCAGAACCTCTTGTGAGCTGAAGGCACTGCTGTGGAATGTGAAACCACGATGTTTGAAGTCTGTGGTTTAAGGGGACTTCTGTATCTAACCCACACTATACCTGACCAGCAAGTACTTGATATTGAGGCTGTCCATCCTCAATTGAATATGTTCTATTTAGCCATTAACATTCTTCACCTTGCCATTCAAAAATATTCACAATTACTTGCCAATATTTGCCAAGATCTACTTTGAGCCTTACAAATGTGTGGCAACTCTGTTTATTTCATCGACAAACTACAATACTAGTAAAAAGCTTGAATGTAGGCCATTGTCCGGGTGTTTATTTGTACGACAACCTCATGTGGCAGTATCTTCCTCCTGTCGTTGGGACTCTTCAGTGAGTTGGATTACAACAACCAAATGCAATTTATATAACGCCTTTGATATCAGCAAAACTCTCAATGTTTTTCTTAACAGATGTTTCCAAGCAAAACCACATAAAGCTTTAAGAAAGGGAGGATACAGAGGAGTGAAAAGAGGTTTAGCAAGGCAATAACCAGAGATTAAAGGTAAAGCCACCATAGTCTGATACTTTCATTAGAAAGTAACAACTGATGGTGAGTTTAAGCTCAGGGTCTCAATGCCTGCAGTGAGGGCAACATTAAGAAGACAGGACCTCATGGTGACCTTAACCAGTGTGGGAATTGAACCTGTACTCAGTCTGCATCACAAACCAGCAATGCAGCCTGAAATACTCAAATTCCCTGTCCAGGTCTCCTCTGCAATGTCCAGGCATCAACATCTTACATTGGGCAATAAGATGGGTATCTGCGTGAGATATCTTTCTGATAGGCAGCACATACTGGCACTATACCTTTCTGTCTTGCAAACTGGGGCCCAGTAAGAAGCCATTGAAAAAAGATCATTTTTAGAATTGGATTTCATTTTTTTAATTGCAGAATATTTATGAGAATTATTTGCCTGAGCACGTTCAGCCACCTGCAAACAGTAACGCACAAGGCCAATATCCACCACCACCTTATCCCGGCACAGGAGGACACCAGATCCCACCTTATCCTGGCACTGGACCTTATTCAACACAGCCACATCCCAATGCAGGATCGAGAACATACCAACCGTATTACATTCCTTCTGCAGGCCCCAGGCTTCCTCCATCTCAAGTCACCCAGAGTAATGGTAGGTTATCGAATGTGCATGTGGAAGTACCATCTGTCTATTTGTGTGTACGTTAATCTCTGTGTATATGTATGTACAGGACATTGGATAGGCTACTTAAGGAATACTGCGTTCAAATCTGGTCTCCCTGCTATAGGAAAGATGTTGTGAAACTTGAAAGAGTTCAGGAAAGATTTACAGGGGTGTTGCCGGGGTTCAAGGATTTGAGCTGTAGGGAGAGGCTGAATGGGCTGGTGCTATTTTCCCTGGAGTGTCGGAGGCTGAGGAGTGACCTTTTAGAAATTTATAAAATCATGAGGGGCATGGATACAGTGCATAGACAAGGTCTTTTCCCCAGAGTAGAGTGGGGGTCTAAAACTAGAGGGCATAAGTTTAAGGTGAGGAGGGGTGCAGATTTAAAAGGGACCTAAGGGGCAATTTTTTCACACAGAGAGTGGTGCATTTATGGAATGAGCTGCCGGAGGAAGTGGTGTAGAGTTACAACCTTTAAAAGGCACATGGATGGATATATGAATAGGAAGGGTTTAGAGGGATATGAATTTCTGTGATAATGTCTGCTCTTGTCCACTGTAACTTTATGAGGTTTTCCAGTGTTTCTGTACCTCCCACGTCAAATGTACTTTAGGGACCTGGGAACAGAGGTTTAACCAATTGTGTTTTCACTGGATTGGGAAAGGTGTGGCTCCTTGGTGCATTGCTATAATCTTTACCCTTTTTTTTCAGTCCCACACAGGAAACCTGCAAGTATCTGTAATCCACAGAGGAAGACTTACTGTTGTATCATTTTCCTCTTCTTGATTTTATCTGTGCTGGGATTTGGAGCTTGGATCATTCGTAAGTAACCACTGCAACTTGTCCCTTTGGTGAGAGGTGCAACTATCGGTAGATCGCAAAGCCGGCTAAAGATGGTGGGGGCCAATGGGGAAGGGGATGAAGGTCAAATACTAATGTTTAAACTCTTGATGGGAACTCAACTGTCACATTTAACAGATACAAGGTGTCCCTGATTTATGAATGCCTGACACATGAATGCTCGTAGTTATGATGGTGATCCCACACAGGGGTTTTAAAGATTTGATATATAAATATTTCCTAGATATTATCCTGTATTTTATTCTGATTTGTGTATAAACTGACTTGAGAATAGATTCAAGAATGGAACCTGTTCTCAACATTGGACTGCCTGTACCAGAGGAGGTATGGATTGTAACCATAGTAACAAGTTGACAAAACGTGCCTTTGCTTTTGCCCTTTTCCTCTTGAAGATGGGTTTGTAAACCTGGTACTGAAGTGTCTGCTCCATGGAAAGCAGAGTAACATAGCTTTGGATGTTTTTTTTAAAGCTGACAAAAGAAGCATGAGCGGGTGGAGTCAGACTCACACAGACCCAGGGTTTTAGTTTTTGCTTTCAGTTGTTGAAGTTGGAATTTTTGGAGTTGAAGATGTTAGAGACAGGTCTCTCTGTCTCTGCTGCGGGATAAGTTTGAATTATCTATCTGCTGCTAGATTCATTCTGCCAGTGTTCCTTCTCCTGGACTGGAGGAGATAGCAAGTGAGGGAAATCTATTTTGCTGAATTTACCTTTGCCAAGGGTGTGTTTATGGGACAAAAACAAAGTTGCTGGAAAAGCTCAGCAGCTCTGGCAATATCTGTGAAGGAAAAAATGGAGTAAAAAACAGAAGGATCTGAGGAAGGGTCACTGAACCCGAAACGTTAACTCTGTTCTTTCCTTCACAGATGCTCCCAGACCTGCTGAGCTTTTCCAGCAACTTTGTTTTTGTTCCTGATTTACAGCATCCGCGGTTCTTTCGTTTTTTTATTGTGTGTTTAAGGGATGCTACTATATTGGAAGAGTTGATGAGTAGTAGTTGAATAATATATTATTTTGTTAAGTATTTAGATAGAGTTGGAGCAATGATAATTCTTCTTTCTTTGTTTGTATTTGTGTTGTAAGTATAAAGTGCATTTTGCTTAAAGCTTAGTAGTTTGACCAATTGAATCACATCTGGAACACAGCTCCTTACATTTGCCTTTAAATAAAATAAAAGTAAAGCTCTAGGCTATCTCCTTGATATATTCTGAGGGAGTTTGCTCTGGTCCAATACGCAAGGGTAGGCCATTCAACACCTCAAGTCTGTACTGCCATTCAAATAATTGTGCCTGTTCAAAAATGCAACTGACAAAAGGATTCATCTTATTGGCTCACATGAGCTGCCTACCATAATTGTTTTTGTGTAATTGTAATGTATAAAGTACTTTTACATATTATGTCACACCTCTTATGAGAACCATATGATGCTTGCTGTGAGAAATAAATTGCCAAAGTGTTGTCTACAGTCTGTTAAGGGACATAACATTTTTTTGTATGTTATGGATTTGGGAGATTTCGGAAACTCATGTCACAGTGACAGCTGTAATCCAAAGAATTCCCTCCCTAAGGGCACTGTGGGTCAACCCACAGCAGGTGGACTGCGCGGTTCATGAAGGCAGCTCACTACCACCTTCTCAAGGGCAACTAGGGATGGGCAATAAATGCTGGGCCCAGCCAGGACGCTCACGTCCCACAAATGAGCACAGGATAAAAAACAACACGCTCATGCCAGACAGATATATTTACAGATAGGAAGAGGCCATTTATCCATTCAAGCCCAATCCGCCATTCAGTTCCATCACCCTATCTGCATTTATCTGCCTCTGATCTGTAATCTTTGATGACCTCACCTAACCTATCAATCTCAGTTTGAAATGTTCAATCAACCGTCAGCTTTAACAGTTGTTTTGGAGAGAGGGTTCCAGATTTCTGTTACATTTGTGTGAGGACAACTTGCCTGATATCACCCTGACTGGCCCAACTCTAATGTTAAAGTTATGTAACTGCTAGCTCTGGTCTCTCCCACTAGAGGAGACAGTTTCTTTCTATGAGCACTTTTGAATCCTTTAACTATATAAAAACCTCAATAAGATCACCCTCTGGTAGTCTATATTTTTGGGGAATCCTAGCTTAATCAGTTCAACCTATCCTTGTTCCTCTATTGCCCTGTTCTTTGTGTAATATCCAAGTGTGTACTGTCTCCAAGCCCATTGTTGATGCCACTTGAACTGAATGTTTTTGTGTCCTTCCACTAGTTAAGTTTGTGAAGGACATTCCAACAGCCAGCTTCAGCCCTTCTTGTCCATCCAGAGTGACCAGGTGTGATGGAGTCAGTGAGTGTAAAGACAGCAGCGATGAAACGGGCTGTGGTAAGCTTTCTCAATCATCAACAGCCATCTCCCAGTTTAATTAAATTAAATGAATGAGTTAATTTCTACCTGATGTTGTCTCTTCCGCCAATCCCACCATCTCCTGCAAACTCCACACTGCAGTGAGATTCCAAGGGTCCAGCTCACAACTCGAGGTCTACGGGTGGAAGTCCAAGCAATGGTTACCCATTTGTTACACAGCCTGGACCACATCTTTGGCAGACAAGACATGTCGACAACTGGGATTCAGGAGGTATGGGCATTAGGGGATTATTGATGAGGTTTAAAATGTCACTGGCTTGACAATTGGGTGTGGGTGGCATGTGCATTGAACATCAGAAATAAGAACCAGGAGTGGGAGTAGGCCATCTGACCCTTCGAGCCTGCTCCGCAGTTCAATAAGATCATGGCTGATCTTTTCATGGCCTCAACTCCACTTACTGCCCGCTCACCATAACCCTTAAATCCTTTACTATTCAAAAAATTGTCTATCTTAGCTTTAAAAACATTCAATGAGGTAGCCTCAACTGCGTCACTGGGCAGGGAATTCCACAGATTCACAACCCTTTGGATGAAGAAGGTCCTCCTCAACGCAGTCCTAAATCTGCTCCCCCTTATTTTGAGGCTGTGCCCCCTTGTTCTCGCTTCACCCACCAGTGGAAACAACGTCCCTGCTTCTGCCTTATCTATTCCCTTTATAATTTTATGTTTCTATAAGATTCCCCCTTATAATCTATAAGAAAATCTATAAATTGGTTACAAGAGATAAGTGGTAAAGAATCACTCAAAGAAAGAACCCTTTTTGTCCAAATTAGAGTATAGAAGTGGCTAGATTGTTCAATTTTCATCTCTGCCCATTGGCTGATCATCACTACTGTGAACAGAAAACAAGCTGGTCACTGTGCAGTGATAACACAGTGTGGAGCTAGAGGAACACAGCAGGCCAGGCAGCATCACAAGAGCAGGAAAGCTGACGTTTCGGTTCAGGACCCTACTATTTCTTGTCACTGTGCAGTGTCTCCTGCTGGAGAATGTGTATGTGCACGGCAAATGAAGCCCTCCCAACCCAAACCACTCTAACAATATCAAATGTGTCAGTTTACACATGAAACTTACTTGTGTGGCAGACACCATATGGTCTTAACCCCAGCGAGGATCTGTGTAAGTTCTATTGACCCAGATTTCCTAAAAGAATTGATTCTGTTACCAAATAACCATAGAGAATGCTGGAGAATCTCAGCATATCTGGTAGCATCGGTGGAGAGAAATAGCATTAACATTTCAGGCAGTTAAGACTTCCTCGATCAGCAACATACTGACTCGATTTCTCTCCACAAATGCTGCCGAACCTGCTGAGTTACTTCAGCGTTCTCTGTACTTGTTTCAGATTTCCAGCATCTCCAGTATTTTGTTTTTATTCAATGAGTCTGTTACCAATGCTATCAAAGGATAGAGCCAAGGACAGGAATAGGATATTGAGGTGCAGATGAACCATGACCTAATTCAATGAGATCATGGATGATCTGCATCTTAACTCCATCTACCCAACTTACGTTTATGTCCCTTAAGATCCTTGAAAAGCAAAAGTCTATTGGCCATAGATTGATTATTATTTATTGAGTTACAGCATCTACTGCTTTCTGAGACAGACAGACCACACTTCTACTATTTTTTGTGTGAAGACATGTTTTCGAACTCGTAGAGTTATAGAGTCATACAACACAGTAACAAACAACTACTCCACTCATCCATACCAACCAGACATCCCAACCTGGCCTGGTTCCATTCGCCAACATTTGGCCCATATCCATCTACACCCTGCCTTTTAAATGTTGTAAATGTACCAACCTCCAACACTTCCTCTGACAACTCTTTCTATATACACACCACCCTCTCTGTGAAAAAGCTACCCTTCATGCCCTTTTTAAATCTTTCCCCTCTCATTTTAAATCTATGCTCTCTAATTACGGACTCCCCCACCCGAGGAAAAAGATTTTGGCTATTCACCCTATCCATGCCCTTCATCATTTTGTAAACCTCTTTAAGGTCACCCCTCAGCCTTTGACATTCTAAGGAAAAAAGGCCCTGCCAATTCAGCCTCTCTCAATAACTCAAACCCTTCAGTCCCGGCCACATCCTTATAAATCTTTCTGCACCTTTTCATGTTTAACAATATCTTTGCTATAGAGGGGTGACCAAAATTGCATGCAGTATTCTAAAAGTGAATAAATGGTGCTAGAAACTATTCCTTATGTCTTTTATTGTTTAAAAATTGACATTATCTTCCTCCAAGTGCTGTTACCTATTGATTTAAATTGGTTCCCAATTTGGCAGCTGAGCTGTGGAAAGATTTCTCAACCATGAGAAACTTTAAAGTTTATTTTTAAAATTCTGAATCTTGTTTTTGGATCCATCCATGGCCTTGCCCTTCTCTATCTCTGCAATTTGCTTGAGTCCAGAGCCCTTGAGATCTCGGTCTACACTCTTCCAATTCTCACTTCTCCTGCACCTCCTTGATTTCCATCACTCACTGGCAAATGTGCTGTCAGATGCCTAGGCTCTAAGCTCTGGAATTCACTCCCTAAACCTCTCCACCTCTCTTCTCTCTCTTCACTTAATACACTCTTAAAACTATCATGGCCTCAATCTGCCTTAATATTTCCTAGAGCAGCTCTATCAAATGTTTTGATTCATAACTCTTCTGTAAGTGCTTTAGAAATGTTACTCCTTATGGGGAACAGCAAAACCAGAGGAATAAATATGAGTAGTCACCAATAAATCAAATGGAGAATTCAGAAGAAACTTTTTAACCTGGAGTGGAACTTGTTACAACAGATGGCATTCGAGGTAAATACTATAGCTGGATTTGAGAGGAAGCTAGATTGTCCTAAGATGGTGAAGGGTATTTAAGGTTATTCTGATAGAGTTAGATGTTGAAAATGGAGCATTAAGACTAGCACAGACTGATTGACTAAAACAGCCATGTAATTGCTGTATTTGCTATGTTAAAGGCTTAAATAGCTGATTCTTGAGCCAGCTGATGTTTTAGTTCTGAATAAGAGGGACAGCAGTATTTTCGAGGGAGGGAACATACTGATATTTTGCTTCTAGAGCCAGCCTTATTCATCTTGTGCAAATTGTTTGACAGTTCTTTCCAGTCTGGGAAAACAACCAATGATCAGTCTTCAAGCCTTGTGGTCAACTCAACAAAATTGGGAACAAAAATACAAAGTCTCTTGAGCAGCAGGTATGTCATTGGGTGTTAAATAAAACAAGAATTGGGGGGTTGGGGGGATGGTCGTGGTGTAGTTTTCTATATCGAGGATGGAATTATAAGAAGTAACAATTCAGATCAAAAATCGCAAGATTAAATTATCCCTGTGAGAATCCCAGGCATGAGGTTTGCACCATATGGCGTGTGGCTGAGACACACATACCATGAGGCAAGCACTGATTGATGCTTGACAGAGCTTTACAGCAAACAGCCTAGTTTAGGTCCAATGTGGGCTCTGTTCTGCACAAAGTGAATATCACTCAGGCAGTGCTCCTACTCCAGATTCAGAGGCATCTGATTCCAGTTTCTGCATGACTGAAGACAAGAGACAGTGGTTGAACTCAAAGAGTAACGCAGATAACTGCAGCTCATAGACCTGACCTCCAACACAGATAGGAGAGGGAAAGAAGAGAAATATTTCATTGTATTAGGGAAGCAATCAGATTTTTCCTTAGGATAGACTCCTTGGCAGAGTTTGAATGTAGCCTTTATCACTTATAAAAATACTATAAGGTTTTCTCAGTTGATTTTAGTTTTTATTAAAAGAACCCAAGGCTACAACTCAATTATTTATAATGATGTACCTTTGTCACACAGATTTGTAGTGACTTACCTCTGATACACTGATTCAACTTGACCTGTTTGTGTTTTATGCTGATGTAATATGAGTTACATTTATTTTTCAGCGCCCGATGTTCCACCACAGATACTGTTTCTCTCAAATGCATTGGTAAGATTTATTCCTTCAAGCCAAATAACCGATGTGTACTTGTGTTCATTTAGGGTATTAGTGTTAGACTATTGGAACCTTTCAGATCAGGAAGTGCAGTTCCATCTAATACACTCAGGACCAATAAGCCCAGGATTAGATACAGAATAAAGCTCCCTCTGCACTATCTCCTTCAAACACTCCCATGACAGGGACAGCACAGGATTAGATAAAGCTTCCCCCTCCCCCACTCCCATGTTGTTTTCTAGAAATACTACAGGACGAATAATGTTCACAATATTATTTGGCAAGATATACAAAGCTATGGGTCAAGTGCTGGAAAATAATGGAAAGTTGTATTAGAATAGACAGGTGATTGCTTTTGACTGGCACAGATTTGATGGGCTACAGGGCCTTTTTCTCTGCTGTAGACCTCTTGGATTATAATATTGCTGGACGAATAGTTTTAAACATATACCAGGATAATCACTTTAGTACAACAGAAGCAATTGTACAGGTAATGTTATAGAATTAATAGTGTAAATGAACCTTTCTATAATATCACACAGACAGTATTATTAATATTAGCTCAGATTTAATATTACTAACGAGCAATAGTCACAGTGACAGCATCCCAAACCTTGATTAATATTAACTTCTAGACCTGGGTGTGTGGGGTACAATTTCAAAGTTTGGCTGATGACATAAAACATTGAACTATTGTGAACTGTGAGACTGACAGAAAGATGACATAGACAGGCCAGTGAAATGTACAGACACATGCCAGATAATATATAAATCAGAAAAGTGTGACATGGAGTCAGGCAGGAAGAATTAGTAGATGCTTCATACAGAGCTCCCTACAAAAAAGCTCTGTGGGTCTTGCTACATCAAATGGACTGCAATGGTTCAAAAAGGCAGCTGACCACCACCTTCTCAAGGCCAATTAGAGTAGAACAACAAGTATTCAGATCTCCTGAATTCATTATGAAAAAGGATAAAATTCTGCAAGAGGGGTGCAGGAGAAGGGTTGTTTGCAGTTATATGCGTGGAAATTATTGAAGGTGCCAGAGAAATTTGAGAAATGCCTAAAAAAGTGTATAGGGCCCTGAAATTTGTAAATAGATAAACAAATAGAGTCATAAAATCATACAACAAGCAAACAGACCCATCAATCCAACACGTCCACGCCAACCAAGCTTCCAAATTAAACTAGTTCCATTTGCCTGTGTTTGGCCCATATCCCTCCAAACCTTTCCTATTCATGTTCCTATCAAAATGTATTTTAAATGTTCTAACTGTACCTGCAACCACCACATCCCCTGGCAGCTCATTCCACATGCAAACTACCCTCTATGTGAAAAAGTTGTCCCTCATGTCCCTTTTAAATCTTTCTCCTCTCACCTTAAACCTATGCCCTCTAGTTTTGAACTCACCTACTCTAGGGAAAAGACCTTAACTTATCAATGCCCCTAATGATTTTTTAAACCTCTATAAGGTCGCCCCTCAACCTCCTATGAAAAATGATAGAATCCCTACAGTGTGGAAACAGGCCCTTTGGCCCAATAAATTCACACTGACCCTCAGAGCGACCCATCCCCCTATAACCCACCTAATCTATGCATCCCTGGACACTATGGGGAATTTAGTATGGCCAATCCATCTAGCCTGCACATCTTTGGACTGTGGGAGAAACCCAGGTCCCTGGTGCTGTGAGGTAGCAGTGCTAACCACTGAGCCACAGTGCCGCCCAATCTCTCCTTATAACTCAAACCCTCCGGTCCCAGAAACATCCTGGCAAATCTTTTCTGAACCCTCTCCAACTTAATAATATCCTTTGTACAACAGGGCTACAAAAACAAAGAAGGTATAAAGCAGTAGCTTGGTCTGACCTGGAATATTATGTCCTGGGCACTGTACTTTAGGAAGAATGTGGAAGTATTATACAGAGAAGGTGCTGAAACAATTTACTAGGGATGAGTAACCTGCAAGATTGCATGGTGTGGGGGAGTGGTGGTGCAGGGTTTGGGGACAAGACGGGTGTGTTGGGGGGGGTGGGGTGTTGTCTGTTCTCAGCAGGCCCAATGCTCCCCATCTCCGTGTTCCCAACGCTGAGTCTTGATTTTAGGGGTTCATAGAACATAGTTTTTAATATATGCAGTCAACAATTTGGAGCAATTTTCTGACATTTAATATTGAGCTTGTTGAGAAGCAGCAGTTCAGGTAGAATAAGCTAATTAATTAGTTAAAGGAAGTATACAACCGTGATAAACACGAATAGCTCATTGATACAAGAGGACAAACAGAATGTATTGGTCTCATTAAAGTTATGAAAGCAGCATCCTGCTCTCTAACTGATGTGTACAGGAACTCTTTCCTGGCTCTTCCTCCTGTTCATCTGGTCCATTTTCCATTTGGAGCCAACCTGAGGACCTGTTGATGAAGACCATTCTCTGAGCATTGCTACCTCCAAGGTCCTGATGAGGAACACCCTCTGCCGAGAGCACACATTGTTCTATTTTATTTCTAAGGCCAGGTTATCTCCTCCATGTCCATTATTTGCCTCAACCCTTTCAGCCAATAGCCATGGGCAGATACTCATGATGTTGGACGACCGTTGTCCCCTTGCCCACCTCCATCTGAGGCTCAGTTTTCACCCTTTCTAAAAATAACACCTTCTCGTTTTTCTAAAACAACCCACCAATAATAGGGATAACACAGCAGGTCAGGCAGCATTAGAGGAGCAGGATAGTTGACGTTTCGGGTCGGCGCCCTTCTTCAGAAACGTCAGGTTTTAGGGGGCCCCAATTCCCAACCTGGGTCCTTCGATCAAGCACGGAGTGCAGGTTAGTGTAACAGCCCCATCTGCTGGCCAGTCATGACCAATGACAGTGGGACAAGGCCCTTAACTGAGCATTAATTAGCAGCAGGGGGAAGATTGTCTCTGAAATATAAGACCATAAGATATAGGAGCAGAATTAGGCCATTTATCCCCTCGAGTCTGCTCTGCCATTTGATCATGGCCGATATGTTTCTCAATCCCATTCTCCTGCCTTCTCCCTGTAACCCTTGATCCCCTGCAACAGGGTTAGTTTCCAATCAAGAACCTTTCTATCTCTTCCTTAAACATATTTAATAACTTGGCCTCCATAGCCTTCTATAGCAATGAGTTCCACAGATTCCCCACCCTCTGACTGAAGAAATTCCTCTTCATCTCAGTTCTCAAGGTCATCTCTTCACTCTGAGACTGTGCCCTCAGGCCCTAGTTTCTCCTACTCGTGGAAACATCGTTTCCATCTCCACTCTATCCAGGCCTCTCAGTATTCTGTAAGTTTCAATCAGATCCCCCCTCATCCTTCTAAACTCAACCAGGTACAGACCCAGAATCCTCAACCACTCCTCTTATGAAAGTGCTTCATCCCTGCGATCAATCTTGTATATCTCCTCTGGAGCCCCTCCAATGCCAGCACATCCTAATCATGAAAGAAGTGGGAAGGCAAAGGGACTCACACCCATGACCCTCCCCTCAAACAAACTCACCACCAGGGAGGGTAGTATATTCTGCCATCTGATTCTAAGCTGGATGCTTGCTGAAGGAACTATGAACAGGAACTGTACTGAGGTCACAGTGAAGGCTCATTTGGCTTTGGTTATGAGATATGCAATCCTGGAAAAGTCAAACAAACATAGGAACAGGTCTGGCAGCAGTCATGAAAAGAAAGTGGAGTTAAAGTTCTAAGTCTGGTGACTCTTTGTCAGAACTAGACTTGAAAGAGTAACCATGCTTTCTTCCCGCAAATAGTACTGTACCTGCTGATCTGTAAGGATTCTCTGACTTCTATGACTATGACTTACTCCAGCACTTTCTGTTTTTTGTCAGATCTCCAACATCTGCAGTTCTTTGTTTTATTAACATAGGAACAGGAGCAGGCCATTCAGCCCCTTGAGCCTGTTCCACCATTCAATGAGATCATGACTGATCTGCAGCCTAACTCTGTGTACTTGTCTTTGGCCAATATCCCTTATTATCTTAAATTAACAAAACAAAATCTATCTCAGGCTCCATCCCCGCTTCTTTGACCTGTCTGTTTCCTCTCCACCTATCTTCTCCTCTATCCATCTTCTTTCTGCCTCCCCCTCTCTCCCTATTTATTTCAGAAACCCCTTCCCCTCCCCCATTTCTGAAGAAGGGTCTAGGGGCGAAACGTCAGCCTTCCTGCTCCTATGATGCTGCTTGGCCTGCTGTGTTCATCCAGCCCTGCACCTTGTTATCTCTATCTCAGTCCTTCAATTTGGAAAGATATATGTCGAATCCTTGGCTGCCTTAATTTCTGTTGATATAATAGGTAGCTCCAGCAACAACAAACATAAACAACTTTCTTATTGGATGTCACTTTCACTTTGAAAACAATCTCTTTGTTTGTAGACTGTGGCAGGAAGATCAAGACCTCCACAAGAATTGTGGGTGGCGTTCCAGTCCAGTTGGGTGAGTGGCCTTGGCAGGTTAGTCTTCATTACAAGTCACGGCACGTCTGTGGTGGAACCATCATCTCACAGGACTGGATCATCACTGCAAGCCATTGCTTCTTTGAGTGAGTAAGAACACTGAAGGAGTGAGGAGACAGTGAGGATGTTACTCTTCGGCCACAAATGGACAATGTTGTTCAAAGGGGATTGTAAGAGGTTGAGAAGGTGTGGGGACGGATTGGGGAGAGACTGAAAGGTCCATTTTTTAAAAAAAATTCATTCACAGAATGTGAGCATCACTTGCCTGGAGACCAACATTTATTACCCATAGAATCCATACAGTGTGGAAGCAGGCCATTCAGCCCATCAAGTCCACACTGACTCTCCGAAGAGCATCCCACCCAGACCCACCCCCTATTCTATCCCTGCATTTCCCACCCTAGACACTATGGGTAATTTACCACAGCCAATCCACCTGACCTGCATATCTTTGGATTGTGGGAGGAAACCCACATAGACGCGAGGAGAATGTGCAAACTCCACACAGTCAGTCACCCAAGGCTGGAAATGAACCTGGGTCCCTGGTGCTGTGAGGCAGCAGTGCTAACCACTGAACCCACATCCCTAATAGTCCAGAGGGTGGTTGCATGTCAACCACATTACTGTGGGTATGGAATCACGCGTAGGCTAGACAAGGTAAGGATGGCAGTTTCCTTCCCTAAAGGGTATTAGTGAACTAGGTGGGTTTTTCCAACAATCAACAATGGATTCATGGTCATCATTAGACTCTTAATTCCAGATTTTTATGAATTCAAATTCCACCATCTGACATGGCAGGAATCAAACCTTGGTCCCCAGATTGTTACCAGGGTCTCTAGCTTATTAGGCTAGTGATAATACCAGTAAACCATCACCTCCCCTCAGGTTGTGGGCTTGGATGAGTGCTAGAAGGAAACCCTTAATGAATTTCTAAAATTGAATCTTACTGAGCTCCTTCTGGCCTTCAATCCTGATTGCAGGAGATCTAGAGTGGTGGGGATAACATCGCTGACAGCCAACCTCAGACAAACTTGGGTTAAAATAACAATTTAAGCCTTGGTGATGCCATTGAGTATGAGAGGAGCTCACAGCTCAGGGATAGGCATTTTCAAAGCTGTAGCATCAGTTAGCCACATTGAGGTTGGGAGGGAGTGGGAGAAAACAGGAGGGAATGAGAGAAAACAGGAAGGAGTGAGAGAAAACAGGAGGGAGTGGGAGAAAACAGGTAGCAGGCTGAGGAGAGGGCATGAAGATCCTTGCCCTTTGTAAAAACCGAAAGAACTGTGAATGCCGTAAATCAGAAACAAAAACAGAAATTGCTGGAAAATTTCAGTACGTCTGGCAACACCTGTGTGTAGAAATCAGAGTTAATGTTTTGGGTTGAGTGCCCCTTTGTCAGAACTGATGGTAGCTAGGAAAAAGTTGTTTTTTGTGCAGAAGATAGTTTGGGGATAGGGGGTAAGATAGGTGGAGATAGAGTCCAAAGAGACAAAGGGACAGTTGGACAGACAAAGGAGTGGATCAGCCTGGGAGAATGAATAGCTACTTGTGGACAATTAATGGCTAACCATTGGTGGTGTGTAATAGCAAACCATGTGATAACAAGGCCTGGTGTGTGGGTATTGGGGTAAGGACATAGGCAAAGGTGCCTCAAAGCCTAAAGTTGTTGAGCTCAATATTGAAGTGGCAAGGTGGCTTGGTGGTTAGCACTACTTCCTCACAGCACCAGGGACCTGGGTTCGATTCCACCCTTGGGCAACTGTCTGTGTGGAGTTTGCATGTTCTTCCCCATGTCTGCATGGGTTTCCTCCCACAGTTCAAAGATGTGCAGGTTAGATGGATCAGCCATGCTAAATTGCCTGTGGTGTCCAGGAATGTGTAAATTAGGGGGGTGGGTCTGGGTGGGATGCTCCAAGGGTTGGTGTGGACTTTTTGAGCCAAAGGGCATGTTTACACACTGTAGGGATTCTATTCTAAGGCTGTAGAGTTCCCAAGTGGAAAATGAGGTGCTGTTCTTCCAGCTTGCGCTGAGTTTTGCTGGAACACTGCAGCAAGCCTGAGACAGAGATACTGGCCAGGGAACAGGGTGGTGTGTTGAAGTGGCAGGCAACTGGAAGCTCAGGTTCTTTTTAGCAGGCCGAACATAGATGTTCTGCAAAGTGGTCACCCACTCTGCACTTCGTTTCCTCACCCTTTGTGCCTGAAACTGACCTTCTTTTGATTCCAGAGATGATAGCTATCAGCCGAAGTACTGGAAAATATACAGTGGTTTTATTTCCCAACGGGAACTATTTAGAGCCACGCAGAGTTCCTTGTCGAGGATTGTTGTTCACAGCAGATACAGCTCAGACACCAATGACAACGACATTGCTTTAATGAAGCTCTCAAATCCACTGAGGTTTACAGGTACTGTTCATGTTAATGGTCGTTGGCCCTGACCAATGTCCAGTCTGTAGCCATTAATGTGTCAGAGCAGTCTGTGTGTGTCAAAGGGCCAGTTCCTGTGCTGTACTGTTCTTTGTTCTATTATTACTAAGCTTCAGGTCTAAAAAAACTCTACAATGTGACACATTCACAGCACCTCCACACAAACCATTAAGTCTCACTTACAAAGGCTGCCCTCAATCGGTTGAATTACTGGAAAAAAAATTATCCTTAGAAATGTTTTCCAATGCCAAAAAACAGAAATGTATTAGTGCAAGTGAAAGGACTTTTTCTTCTAGATTGTTATCATCTTCAACACAAACTCAGTAAATCATGGGTTCAATACGATAGTAAAATGTAGGGTATGCAGGGTAGTTTGATCTTAGAGTAGGAGAATAGGTCGGCACAACATCATGGGCCGAAGGGCCTGTACTGTGCTGTACTGCTCTATGTTCTATGTTCTATGTTCTAATACAGAACACTATGCTTGCTACACTGTGCCCATCAAACCCTTCCAGGACAGGAACAACATGATGTTGGATACAGAGTAAAGCTCCTCTACACTAACCCCATCAAACACTCCCAGGACAGGGAGAGCAAGGCGTTAGATAAAGAGTAAAGTTGTCCTTACACTTGTAAACTGAAAATAAAGCTCTCTCTACTCTTTTTAAAATTGAAAGTAAAGGCTCCTTGATGCTGTCCCCACCAAAAACTCCTAGGAAAGGGACAGCATGGGGTTAGATACACAGTAAAGCTTCTCTACTCTTTTAAAGTGAAAGTAAATCCGGCTCGACTCTTTTAAAATGCTGCCCCTACTCTTTTAAACTGGGGGATTTTGAGACTAGGAGTATATTTTTAAGGTGAGAGGAGAAAGATTTGAAAAGGACATGAGAGGCAATATTTTTACACAGAGAATGGTTCGTGTGTGGAATGAGCTTCTAGAGGAAGTGATGGACACAGGTGCAGGTACACTGTTTAAAAGATATTTAGATAAGTACATGAGTAAGAAATGTTTGGAGGGATATGGCCAACTGCAGGCGGTGGGACTAGTTTAGTTTGAGATTATGGTCGGCATAAATTGGTTAGGCCAAAGGGTCTGTTTCTGTTCTGTATGACTATGACAGGGTGTCTCCATGTGACTGCATGTGTATATGTGACTGAGCGTGTACATGTGAGCAGGATTACTTGGTTACTTCACCCTAATTTCTACGGTGTGACAGAGCCTACACTTTTTCCAGATAATATTAGACCTGCCTGTTTGCCAACCTACGATCAACAATTTCCTGAAGGGATGCGCTGTTGGATTACGGGATTTGGTCACACACAGGAAGGGGCACGTAAGTAAGGCAGTGTGTATCGATGGGTCAGAAGTCATTGGAGGCTGGGGTATGTGGGTCAGTTAGCTTGGTTGGCTGGATGGCTGGTTTGTGATACAGACTGATGCCAACGCTGTAGGTTCACTGGCTGAGGTTGCCACGAAGATACCACCTTCTCAACCTTTACCCTCACCTGAGATGTGGTGACCCTTAGATTAAACTCACCACTGCTCATCTCCCTCTATGACAGAGCGGAACTAAGGTGACTTCCTCTTTATTCTTCCCTGGTGTACTGGAGGTTGCACACAATCTATCTCTTCCACTTAATTTAACACCAGTACACATCAAACTTATTCACTTAGACAATCATTGTTTACCTTCTTTGCTCTAAAGAAATAGCCACATTTTTTTTTCAGTTAACCTGAATTTATTTTAAATTATCTCCTCAAGGTATTTTTAGAAAGGTTATAGTTCTCTGCCATTGTGACAAAAGGTGCCAAAATTCCTGTGGATTTGCTGTAAACTCTTGCTTCTTGTCATCTCGATTAAATTGGAATTTTAATTTCACAAAGAGGTGACATTTTCATTGCAAAATCCACATTTTTGTTTGACCAGTGATTAAAGCTTCTGGGTCATGAAAATGGCATTAATTTTTAGCTACTGATAGAAGAGAATGTATTGTGAGCCTTGGTTGTAAATATTTTCACATCAAAGTAAATAGAAAGGGATTAGAAAGATATGAGCCAAATGCTGGCAAATGGGACTAGATTAATTTAGGATGTCTGGTCAGTTTGAACAAATTGGACCGAAGGGTCTGTTTCTGACCTGTACAGCTCTATTACTCTATGACTCATGAGGTCATAAGAAATAGGAACAGGAGCAGGCCATTCAGCCCCTCAAGCCTGATCACTATTCAACAAGATCATGGCTAATCTGCCCCAGGCCTTAACCACTCTTTCGTGCCAGCTCAGCATAGCTGGATCAGCATAGTGGATCCTGAACCTTGACCTCTTTGACCAAGCTTTTGGTCACCTAGGCCAAAGACCTCTTGCAATTGCTTGGGAAGCATCTTGGGATACATTGCTATGTCAAAAGCCCTAAATACAAGTACCTGTTGTTGTTAAGTGCTGTTCCTCCCAGGTATGGTTTAAATTTCAGACATTGTTGGCCAGGTCACTCTGAGACTGTGGCTGAGTAGCAAATCCCATTGTAACATCCTGAGCTTAACCTTTTATTTAATGTATTTCAGTTTTGACCTCCAACATCCTCCTAGAAGCTTCAGTCAACATAATCGGCACTAGAACCTGCAACCGGAGAGACTTTTACAACGGAGCAATAACAGACCGCATGGTCTGTGCTGGCAAGATCTCTGGGGGAGTCGATTCTTGTCAGGTATGTGATGGTCAGAAACCAGGACATCCATCCACTCATTTCTGGGGTCCTGGTTTTAGAATCAATGGACTGGTTGCATTTCTGCTCTGTGAGCAATAAACATCCTGAAGGAATTGAATCTGATGTTATAAAGCGGAGGTGGAATTCCCTCCCAACCCCCACCGAGAACTAAAACCGGAATACCCAAAGAGGAGCACCTCACCTCATAATCTGTAAAAGGAGTGTGAAAAGTGGTGTAACCTGCCTTTCAGCAGCTTCCAGTGGTTAAATAAAATAAGTCACTGACACTCACTTTACAATCAACAATTTATTTATCTAACTCTAACAGTGAATAAATTAACTAAACTATTAACAAACTGAATAAATCCCTTCTAACTACTAAATATTCCCGAATAAAACAAGATTCTAATGGTATGCTGTTCCAATAAATATAAGTCCCACTTGTATAAAATAAAAATAGAATTTAATCTCTCAAAATTACAGTCAGGTTACATGTCTTCCAGAATGCTCAGGGCCTTCGCCATCGATTCTTCTGCCAGGAATACTCACTAGATGTGCCATTGGTACCTTTGTTATTTAGATGGTGCTTTCTCTAATACGTAGAGAAGGCTATGAGAGCCAGTGATTCTCTCTTGAGAGCTGAGTGCTGTTAACTCTGGTGGAGAGTAGTTAGCTCTCTGGTCTTTGTCCAACTGCCCTCTTCCTTTATACCTTTGATGACATATCAATACTTCTTAAAATAGAATTGTTCCTATATTGTCAAAACCATCAGATTTAAATTTGCAGCCCAAGGGTATCAATGTGGACTTCACAAGCTTCAAAATCTCCCCTCCCCCGACCACATCCCAAAACCAGCCCAGCTCGTCCCCGCCTCCCCTAACCATTCCTCCCACCTCAAGCCCCATCCCTATCTCCTACCTACTAACCTCATCCCGCCTCCTTGACCTGTCCGTCCTCCCTGGACCGACCTATCCCCTCCCTAACTCCCCACCTACATTCACCTTTACTGGGTCCAACCCCGCCTCTTTGACCTGTCTGTCTCCTCTCCACCTATCTTCTTCTTTATCCATCTTCTATCCGCCTCCCCCTCTCTCTCTATTTATTTCAGAATCCCCTTCCCCTCCCCCATTTCTGAAGAAGGGTCTCGACCCAAAACGTCAGCTTTGCTACTCCTCTGATGCTGCTTGGCCTGCTGTGTTCATCCAGCTCTACACCTTGTTATCTCAGATTATCCAGCATCAGCAGTTCCTACTATCTCGGTAACAGATTTGAATTTAATTGGCTTTTAGTATCTAAGTGCTTGATTCAATTGATTGGCTAAATTCAAAACTTGTTGTCTTGGTAAAAACTGCTGCTTGGCCTGCTAACTGTACAGCCCTTTTGATACAAATATTTCAATTCGGATGCTTTCCGTGTACTTCCAAATGTTCAAGCTGCTGCTCACAGACATCCACTTTAAATCCTTGAGCGTAGAAAAAGCACATTATCTATTAAAGCGACTATGCAATGCTTTCCGCCTCAGCATTTTACAAACAACAAATACTAACTTCCTGCCTCCTGATCCACAAGTACTCTACCCAACTTCATAACACTGAACAATATCTTAACCTAATTGTGATAGGAACAAAAAGCATTGAAATCACAGCGGGCTGGGCAGCATCCATGTAGAGAGGGCAAGCTAATGTTTCAAATCTAGATGACTCTTCATCAGATGAAGATTCCAGAATCTGCAGTAATTTGTTGGGCATATGATGAAATGCTAACTCATATATAGGGGGTATTGGTTGGGAGGATGTGTTGGTTTGTCCCTTCACCAGAAAAGAGGCAGCTCTGACAGTACAGCACTCATTCAATACCACATTAAAGTACCAGCCTAGATTCTCGTCTATGGAGCAAGGAAGGCACATTCTTTGAACCCAAAGATGAGGGTGATACTTATGGAACATTTGAGTGGAAGATCTATTGAAGTTGTCATCTCAAAACTGAACTTCGCTCAATGAGACCAGGGATCTTTTGTTTTATTCATTCACGGGATGAGGGTGTCACTGACCTGGCAACATTTATTGCCCATCCCTAATTGTTCAGAGTCAACCACATTGCTGTGGGTCTGGAGTCATGTGTAGGCCAGACCAGGTAAGGATGGCAGTGTCCTTTCCTAAAGGGCATTAGTGAACCAGATGGGTTTTTCCGACAATGGGTTCATGGTCATCATTAGACTCTTAATTCTGGCTATTTTTATTGAATTCAAATTCCACCATCTGCTGTGGTGGGATTCGAACCCGAGTTCCCAGAACATTATCTGGGTCTCTGGATTAACGGTCCAGCGATAATACAACTAGGCCATTGCCTCCCCATAGTCCACTCAAAGATATGGGTGGCTGCGCCCAATTTGTAGAGCGTTTTGATTTTCCAAGTTAAACAAATGAATCATTGGAAAGTGAGGATGGCTGCTAATACGGCACTAATACCCCATGTGTGAGTAAAGCCTCCCAAAGTTGATCCAGTACTCACATCCCACAATTCGAGCACAGGATTAATGTTCTCCTCATTCCCAATTAAACAAGTTGGCACGTGCTTTGAGGGTAAACCAAGGCTTTGCCTGGGGTTTGTGGGTCAGTGCTTCAAGTGGCTTCCATTTGACTGTGAAACATTTCTCTTTAAACCCCAGGGTGATAGTGGTGGGCCTCTTGTCTGTGAAGTGTCTGGTACCTGGTACCTGGCAGGAGTTACGAGTTGGGGGATTGGCTGCGCTCGGATGAACAAGCCAGGAGTTTATGCCCGGGTGACACAACTCACCAACTGGATCTTCACACAGATGGAGGTACCAATTTATCCTCATTACCATGGCAACTGGGGAGAATATTTTGCGATACAAACAATCCGGACAATAAGAGCCTGCATTTTAGGACCATTTGTAATGTAGGGAAATGCCCCTAGGTGTTTGTAGGAATGATGCCAGATGATGGTGCAGCAGAGGGAGTCAGAGAGGCTAGACTGGGAGATGCCAGGAGATCGCAATGGGTCGTGGGGCCAGAGGAAGTTACAAAGATTGAGGGGGGAGACATTGTGGAGGGATTTGAAAACAAGGAGAAACATTTAAAATTCATTGCCAATGGATCTAATATATAAACTTAGACAGTAGGTAGGACATTAATAACTCATCTTAAAAGTCACATTTCCAACAGTGCAGTGTACCCTCAGTCCTGAAGGAGCCCATGTCGGTTAGAGAGCACAAGAGGTGATGGATGAATGGGACCTGGTGGTAATGATGTGTGAGCAGCAGTGAGTTCGATGAATGAGGATTGAGAGGAAGGAATGAGACTAGGTAAAACCATTTGAGGGCTTTCACTGCAGAGTCCCTTGTCATGTACCTATACAAATGTAAGAAATAGAACAGAAGTAGGGCCATTCAGCTCCTCAAGCCTGCTTCACCATTCCATAATTCAATAATAATGGATAATCTGTTTGTATTTTGAATTCCACATATACAATAACCCTCGTTCCCCTGTCTAAACCAATCTATTCACTTCTGACTTAAAGATATTCAATGACCCCAAGTCCACTACCCTCTGAGACACAGAGTTTCAGAGTCACACAATCCTCTGACAGAAAATATTTCTCCTCATCTCTGTCCTAAGCGGGTGACCCTTAATTTTAAAACCGTGTCCCCTGGTTCTGTGTTCACCCACAAACAGGAGGCATCCTTTCCACATCTACCTTGTCAATCATTCAGGACCTTATACACTTCAATCTAACACCCACACTCTTCTAAGCATCAGTGGAAAACAAGCCCAGTCTATCCAATCTTTCCTCATAAGACAACCTACTCACTCCAGGCATTAATCTAGTAAACCTCCTCTGAACCACCTTGAATGCACTTACATCGTTCCTTAAAGTAGGAGACGAAAACTCCATACAGTATTCAAGATGTGCTCTCACCAATACTCAAAGTACATTGTTAATAATATATTTCTGAGAGTCAGCAGCATTAAGCTGGGCTGCATACAGTTTTGTATTTTCATTTTATGCCTTTTATGACACAAAGCTGTAGAGCCAGAGAAGTACATTTTGAATAGAAGTCACTGTCAGAATGTTGGAAATGCTATGCAAATGCTTACGACAGCAATGTGACACCAACCAGAAAGTCTGTTTCACCTTTCTTGATTCTGGTTGAGGGAAAAGTACCCTGTTCTTATTTGAAAAGCGCTGAGGGATCTTTTACATCACCTTAGGCAGCCAGAGGAACTTTGATTTAACGACTCCTCTTAAAAGTCGAACTTCTGGCAGTGCAGCATACCTTCAGTACTGCACTCAGAATTTTAGCCTAGATTTTAGGCTCCATAATGAAGCTTGAGTCTTCTGATCATATGTCTTTTTTTCGGCTACACTCAAGTGACTGTAAACTTTCTGACCCAGCAGTAAGGGTGCTGAGGCGTGAATGATACCTCCTACAGCTGGGACATCAAACTGTTCCATTTGAGAATCTGGGTCATTATTTGAATGATAGGAAGAATTCCATTAGGTTCAACATGTAGATTCAATTAGGTTTTTTCCTAGTTAATTTGCAACACAAAACCACATTCATCTCATTGGCATACAACAGCTGTCATAGTTACTTAAGTAACATGAATATACTTGTGAAAGCCTTCAATATCTTTCAATGGTATATCAAATATTACATAAATAGAAGTATTCATTTCCACTTCAACAACTTTCCAATTTTAGCTGACAAAAATAAATTGCCAGTGTATTGCCCGCAGTACGACGTTAAAACTTCATCTCATGGTGAAATTGGGAGACTTTATAAAGTCATGCTACCATATCAGCTTAGGCTGGAGCCCTTTACATTTTACTTAAGGATATACAAGAAAAGAGGAAGGCCATTCAGTCCCTCAAGCTTGTTCCATTCCATTCAGTTGAATCATGATTGCTCTCTTAATCCCCTTTCCCAGTCGAAACAAATTTTATTTTCAGTGTCTGTGTAAGTTACTTCAACATTAAATCTTGACATAAATGTATGGCCAAAAATCATGATGAAAGGAAGACCTTTACTAATATATAAAAGAAATGTGTCTCTTATTTATGTTGTTGATTCCACAAACAAGTAAATGTGAAATGTTGGTTTTCTGCCATGAAGGATTAGGGAGGTAATGGGTTGAACTGGTAAATGGATAATCAGAAGCTTAAGGCATTAGATTTCTGACAGGGATTGAGTTGGGCGAGCTGGACCCTGGCTTCTTCGAGAAATGAATCCAGGTGGTTGCACTGTTGTCCCATCTGTTGGTTTACAACAACAACCTGCATTCACATAGAGCTTTTACCATAGAAAATTGTCCCAATGCACTTAGCAAGAAAGAGCATGACCAAACAAATTTTGACACTGAGCCAAAAGAAGGACTACTGGCAATTAGGAAGAGAGGGAATTATAGTTTAGAACCTGCAATAGAGATCACCAATAGAGTTAGTGTTTGTGGAAATACAATTCTGTTCTATATACTGCCAGATTTGGAAATCATTGGTCCAGACCATAGTGAGTACCCAATGGATATCATTTTATGTGACCTGCCTGTCCATAAGAATGAGACCAATTGCTGAATAATGGTGAAATTGATGTTATGGAGTGCCATTCTCCTCGGGATTTAATGTCTTGTATTTCACTTTTACAGGCCAACAGCAACTAATGAAAAGAATGGGCTTTCACCGCACATTGGGTGTGTTCGAGGTTGTTGCCTCTGATTTATGCTGCTTTTCCAAAAGACTGTTTCTAGGGAGATTGGATTTCTCCCAGAGCTCATTAATGTACTGTATACGTTTAGTCAAAAAGAGAGACAGTTTGATTCATTATTCAACGGGTGATACAGCCTCAACTTGGTCTAAGATAACCAAACCTTGCCTGACCATGACCATTACCTTACGCTATGTGAGTTTAAGAATTTCCCCAGATCCTCATGGTTTCTGAGGATTAAACTCTCAAAGATCCTGCACATGCACTGGGTCCACGTTAATTTAAGATTATAATTTAAGAATTTCTGCTTTGGGCTCAATCCAGTGGCAATTTGCACCCGAAATTGCACCTGGTTTGCAAAATATATATTCTCAGGTTTCTGCTCAGATG